AGTGTCTCTTTCTGACCTAGGAGGGCAGGGACTTTTCTTGTTCCCTGCTGTATCCCCATTGTCTAGACTTGTCCATAGGGTAGGCTCCCAGTAAAAGTTTGTTGAGTGAATAAAGGAATGAGTTAATTCATAAATATAACTTGTTTCTGTCAGATTTTTGCTTACTAAAAAAAGAAAGTTTTGGAATGAACACTTAAAGATTTCTCTTTTTACCTGCACTGTGCATATTGAATTAATTCAAGTGAACTTAAGTTTGTCTTGCTATATGTTTTAGGAAGGACGTCTTAGTTAATTAATACCCTTTTGTTTCTAGAGCTTCTGTAAAACCCCATTTGCATATTATGAATAGAATAGTTATAATATTCTTCATAGATAGCTCTTTGTTGATATTTCTCACATCTGTATTTCCTATCTGAGCTCTAACCCAAGCATTGGTCCCATAATTCTTGCTTATTAAACATTTCCACCTGGTTGTTCTACAATTACATACCATTGCTTTAAACTTAGCTTGTCTAAAACTGAAGTTATCACCTTACAGAAAACGAAAATCTTAACCATTTCTTACTTTAGGGCCTTTGTACTTTCTGTGCTGTCTGTACCATACTGTACTTCAAGGGCAGCCATATTTCCCTGATCTACCAGGGTAGGAGGACTCGTAATTTTTTTTTAATGAATAATGGTGAAGTTTAGTCTATTAACTCTGCCAATACAGTTGTAGGTTTAATGCTAGTCATTTAATCACTTTTGGCAAAATCAGTGAGAAACTATACTATCTTGACAGTTCTCTAGATCTGAGGGGTTTATTTAATAGGTTATATCTGAATTCTGACTCTAGGGTGTGTCATTTGTGCTCGTTCTCAGCATTTATTTCAGCAGTTAATGGCAGTGTTGTCTGATGAGCTTTTGCACTACCCAGTTTGGACACGTAGATGTTCTTGTAGTTAAAGAATTTGTATATTCGTTTCCAGGCTTCTGAGGAAGCTTGTATTAGTGGGTATAGCTCCCTTTCCACAGCAGTTTTTCTTGACACAAGCCATTTCGATAGAGCTGTTGTTTAAAAATATAAAATCCTGAGAGTTGTGCTTGAAAGTTAAAGCAACTTAACACATGATTCGTAATTATCAAAAGCCTATGAATCTTTCTATAATTGTTTTTCAGTTTTTCAAAATAACTGATTTCTTCGAACTAAGAGCATTTCCCTGCAGGAAGTGAATGAGCACTACCTGCTATTTCAATCGACAGGTCCAGTTTGTAAGAATATTTGTAGTACTCTTGATTTTTTCCCTATCGTTTCAAGTTCATTGTCTTCAGATATCTTACGCTAGATTTAAAAAAGTAAAATGCTGGGAGTCACTGGGTATCTGACAAAGAATCTCTGTTGTTGTTGTTGGGTGTTGTTGAGTCAGTTCAGACTCATAGCAAGCCCATGTGACAGTAGAACTGCCTCATATTGTTTTCCAGGCTGTAATCTTCATGGAAGCAGATTGCCACGTCTTTCTGCCACAGAGCAGCTGGAAGGTTCGAATTACTGACCTTTTGGTTAGCAGCAGAGCTCTTAACCGCTGTACCACCAGGGCCCCTCTCTGTGCTGCCATAGCAGAGCTGAAATCACAGCCCTCCTCAGCACTGTGCTCTGTGCACTGTAAACCAAGAGCATAGAGGCTGCATTACTGTGGAGCAGCAGTTTTCAAAGTGTGGTCTGCGGAACCCTGAGGTTCATAATAATGCTACAATGCTATTTTCCTTTTTTCGCTGTATTGACATTTGCACTGATGGCACAAAAGCAGTTTGGGGGGGGGGGTAAAACTGCTGGCATCTTAGCACAAATCAAGTCATTGGCACCAAACTGTCCTAGTAGTCATTGTATTTTTCACAGCCATGCACTTGACAGTAAAAAAAAAAAAAAAAAATACCTGTTTCCCTGAAGAATATGCTTGATGAAGGGGTAAAAATTGTCAAGTTTATTAAGTCTCAGCCCTTGAGTACATGTCATTTTAATACCTTCTGTAATGAAACGGGAAGTGCACCGAAAGCACTTCTGCTACATACTGAAGTTTGATGATGTTCTTGAGCAGAAACACTTGCTATTATTTGAGTGATGGGATGAACTAGCTGGGTTTTTTTTTTCTCCATGGATCATTATTTTTCTCAAAAGAACAAATAACAGCCATACTATGGCTATTTAAACTTGAATATTTGGAAGACATTTTCTCAAAAATGAATGAAGTAAGCCTATGAGTTCAAGGAAAACAATTGGCAGTATTTATTGCCACTGATAACATTCAAGCCTTTAAGCAAAAATTTTGAATTTTGGAAAACCTGCATGTGCCACTGTGAGCTTGACAGCTTCCCAGTACTTAGAGACTTTTCTGATGAGATTGAGAGTTATTTTAATTAGTGTGATTTTCTGATAGTGTATCATGAAATGTGTCAACATTTGGAAGATGTGCTTAACTCAGTGAGCCAGTGTTTTCAAAATGACTATCACAATATTATAAAACCTTACGTGGGTAAAATATCCATTCAGAGTGCAAGAAGAACCAGTGGATTATAATGCAACGTATGGAAAGTTCATTGATACGGTTTCAGGTTCCACATTGCAACTAACCTTTTAAAGTGCCACTTGTCAAGTTTTGGTGTAGTATTAAAGATGAATAGCCACATTTTTTGGAAAAGTTGTTAAAATACTCATCCCTTTTCCAACTACATTATCTGTATAAGGCCCAGTTTTTCTTCACATACTTCAGCTAAAACAACTTATTGCAACAGATTCAATGCAGAAATAGATATGAGAATCTAGCTGTCTTTAGTTAAGCCAGACACTTTAAAAATTTGCAAAAATGTAAAACAATACTACTCTTCTCATCAATTTTTTGAAAATACAATTATTTTTTATAAAATGTTATTTTTGTTCACATGTAATGGGTTTACTATTTTTAATAGAGTTACTAAATATTTTTAAATTTTCTCAGTTCAATTTTTAATACAGAAAGTATCAATAAATATAACCAGTAGGGTGCTGGAGCTGGTTTGTACTGGCTTGCAAGAGCTGATTATGTGCATCTCTTTCCACCTCTGTGTTCAGTGTCATCACGTTGGTAGTCAGCTATAGTAGGAGAATTTACCCTGCTGAAATCAGCAAAAGCTACAAATCAGGGTTTCCCCTTCCTAAGAGTCAGTTGTTAAGCATTTACCAACACCCTATTGGATATAACCCACATAAACAAAAGCTCTTTGAGGTCAAAAATGTTCAAGACTGTAAAGGTGTTCTGAGACTAAATGTTAGAGAATTAGTGGTGTACAGAAAGGAGTGCCTTTTGGTGGTAGGTCCGCACAGCAGGCGTACCTGTTTGTAATTCACACAAAGTTGCCTTTTGTGCTGGCAACATTTGTAGAATAAATCTTCCCAATGTCTTTTAACTTGTAGCAGTTAAATGTACTGGCTTCATTATAGGATAAGCTTTTTCTTTTCCTCTAAAATGTGAGGTGGACAATATTACTCCAGGGGAGGTGGGCTAAACTTGGCCCTTGGGCTGCATGTTGGGTGTGTCTGTACTAGTTTCTCACTTTCTGTGCAACTGTTATCCAGGCTCAGATTAATACCAGCTCAAATTCTGGCTTCCAGACACGGCCTCACTCCCTGTTCAGGCCCATACGGATCTTTCTGTTCTGTACCACTATAACCTTTATGGCCTATACAATTGAGCAATTAGTTCTATATTGTTTAGTGTGCTATTGTTTCTTAGGTGTTAATTTTATCATCCTACTTTCTACCCTAGTACACCTGGTACAGTGCTCAACACATAGTCTTGCATGTTTAAAAGATTTTTTTTCTTTTGGATTGCCAGAGAAGTTTGCTTTCCAAGGGAATGGTGTTATAAATAAATATTACATTTGTTGTAAACCCAGTTTTTAGTAATTCTTTTCAAGTATTTGCATAAGTAGATTGGAAATCACTGATGTTCCTTAAAATGAGGTCACACAGAGGCTTCCTTCAGAGATCCTGTGGTTCTACTATGACTCGTGATAGAAACCGGTGGCTTATCTCCTTTCCAAGTGGCTTATTTCATTTTCAGAGCCTTTGGCTGTTTTGAAGAAGTCATAGTGAAATAAATGGTGAATCTTAGCAACATGAGGGAAAGTTTCTAAGATTACACTAGCCTAATATAGGACAGAGTTGTTTACTAATTAGAAAACTTGGCAGGCTTTGAATCCAGAGGAGTGGAGATACTGCATTTTTGCTGGTAGGGATCTCAGTTAACAGCTCGCAAGGTAGCTATGAGATGGCTGTACTTGCCTTCTCCCTGCTCGTGCTGAGTGACAGTCTGGCCCTCTCTCTGGATGCTCCAGCTAGGGGAAAGGAAAAGTGTGAGCAGGCCACACTATCTCCAAGCTCTAAGCTTGCCTTGGCTCAGAGATGCTAAGGGCATGAGAGGTCCTGCTAAAAATAGCAATTTCTTTGGCTTGTGCCTTTTTTGTGTTTATGGGGGAATAAAAGTAACTGTGATTTTTATCAGTAGAAAGACAAGGTATCTGCTTGCATCTGGCATAAAATATAATTCCAAATGTTTACTTTATTAAAAAATAATTCAGCATATTTAAGTTCTGTCTTCAGTTTCTCTTAAGTACACTTGAAGTTAAAAACAAGTTATGAAGGGTAATTTATACTCTGGCCTAAAAAAGGTTTCACTGTTAGTAGTCGCAAAGTCGTAGTGAGGTAGTTTAACTGCTTTAGAACTTTATGCTTGGAACGTTCTTAGCCACCGAAGCATGGGAACCGAAAGTGAGGAGCATGGATTCTTTAATATCTATCACATCAGAGAATGACTGTTCTAGGACAGTAACCACCTCCTCATGGTAAGTACCACAGCTTGTCTGTCATTTCGCAGAAGCAGGAAAAAGAAAAGAAAAATTGACCAGTCATAATGGGTATTTCTGAAAAACAAAAGAACAAGCAGAAAAGGCTCAGCCATAATCCTCAATGATGATCATTTTTGCAGGTTTCTGTAGCTGGATCAGGCACCGGAAGAGGCTCCCCAGCTGTAACTGTAGTGCAGTTACCTTCGGGCCAAACTGTACATGTAATTCAGACACCACAGCCATCGGTTATTCAGTCACCACAAATACAATCTGTTCAGGTTAGCTGCCTTCCTGGATGACTTGTCTTTGACTTCCTTGAGCCTCTTTTCCTTTTACTAATTTAATCATTTATTATATTTTTCACTGTGTAATTTTTATGCTCAAATATTTTCACTAGACATTTGGGGGAGTTTCTTTTTTATGTATGAAGAGCATTGTGCCCTGCTAGGTACATGAACCTTACTTAAGACTTGCAGTTTTGTTGTCAGTGCTTAATTTGCAGAATAAGTAATTTCCAAATGACAGTTCACTTCTTATTCAAGTATTGTGCTGTATTCAAACTCTGGTTTAGCAAAGCTGTCCCGTGGTGTTTAAAAATATTTTGAGGGTTCTTTGAAGAAGATGTCTGATAAACATAGATTGCATTTCCTGTGCTGTTTTCATGAATACTCAGGTTAGTAGATAGGTAGAAATTTACTTTCGATGAAAAATACATAATTCTTAGAAAACAGCATGATGTCATTGGCACCTAGGCATTATGTTTATACATCATGTACCCCTCTCAGATTAAACCTTGGCTTTTGTAGCCATCGTTATTATTGGGCTGTGATCCAGAGACATATTTTATTATTTATTTTTATCAAGGTTGGTCATAAATTGTTAAAATTCCTTGACACTAAAACTTTCTTTTTTGTCTTTTTGGCATAAGTAGATGTTAATGATTAAGTATGTATTTTTTTATGGATACAGTTTTTTGAAGCATAGTCTTCCTGTTTACTGAGTTTATTTCTGTTACTCTTTTAGGTCAGTTTGTTATTATCCTTTAAATGTTAACATTATTTGAACCTAGTTGATGACTAAAAACATCTTGAGGAAAACAGATGAGCATACTTAATCAGTCTTATCCTTTTCCTGCATGTTTGAGTACCGTTTATCTCAGAATAAGGATGAGAGTTGCAGCGTGATTTTTAAAGTGATAAATCTACAGGCATTAAAAACTTGCCTTTTTTTTGTCACAGGTATCCTTTCCTGTGTTGCCCTTGATTTTTCTGTGATGGCATTTGATTCCAAGAGTTTCTGAGTCTTTCTGACCTTGGTTATAGAACAAGGAAGTCATTCCTCTGTCCTGTTTGTATTCTGACTTTTTATTGGGGTGTGGACATTTATTGAGGTGTAGTTTTAACCCAGCTGATATTGGAGAAAAGTATCATTTTATATTCAGTAGTCTTTTTTGTTAAATGAAAAGTTCAATTATCTTTTTAGAGATAGGTGCTGATGGAGCTTGTCTTAAAATTCCTACCTGTTGGACAATGGACAAGTCACTTTGTCTGTATGAGCTTCAGTTTTCTCTAAAATGAGTAAATAATAGCCTGCCTCACATTGTCATGTTGTTAGATGCTGTTGAGTTGGTTCCCACTCATAGCGACCCTGTGTACGACAGAATGAAACACTGCCTGGTCCCGCGCCATCCTCACGATCGTTGCTACAGTTTAGCCCATTGTTGCAGCTACTGTGTCAGTCCATCTTGTCGAGGATCTTCCTCTTTTTCACTGACCCTCTACTTTACCAGAATGATGTCCTTCTCTGGGGACTTGTCCTTCCTGATAACATGTACAAAGTCCGTGAGACAAAGTTTTGCCATCCTTGCTTCTAAGGAACATTCTGGCTGTATTTCTTCCAAGACAGACTCGTTCATTCTTCTGGCAGTCCGTGGTGCAGTCAATATTCTTCACCAACACCATAATTCAAAGGCATCAATTCTTCTTTGGCCTTCCTTATTCATTGTCCAGCTTTTGCGTGCATATAAGGCAACTGAAAATACTATGGTTTGGATCAGGTGCACCTTAGTCCTCAAAGTGACACCTTTGATTTATAACACTTTAAAGAGGTCTTTTGCAGCATGTTTGCACGCTGCAGTACATGATCTGATTTATTTACTTATTTTTATTGTACTTTAGATGAAGGTTTACAGAACAGACTAGCTTCTCATTAAACAGTACACATATTGTTCTGTGACATTGGTTAACAACCCCACGACATGTCAACACTCTCCTTTCTCAACCTTGGGTTCCCTATTACCAGCTTTCCTGTCCCCTCTTGCCTTCTAGTCTTTGCCCCCCAGGCTGGTGTGCCCCTTTAGTCTCGTTTTGTTTTATGGGCCTGTCTAGTCTTTGGCTGAAGGGTGAACCTCAGGAGTGACTTCAGTACTGAGCTAAAAGGGTGTCTGGGGGCCATACTCTCGGGTTTCTCCAGTCTCTGTCAGGCCAGTAAGTCTGGTCTTTTTTTGTGAGTTAGAATTTGGTTCCACATTTTTCTCCAGCTCTCTCCAGGACCCTGTATTGTGATCCCTGTCAGAGCAGTCAGTGGTGGTAGCCAGGCACCATCTAGTTGTACTGGACTCAGTCTGGTGGAGGCCATGGTAGTTGTGGCCCATTAGTCCTTTGGGCTAATCTTTCCATGGTATGATTTCTTGACTGCTGCTTCCATGGGCATTGATTGTGGATCCAAGTAAAATGAAATCCTTGACAACTTCGATATTTTCTCTGTTTATCATGATGTTACTTATTGGTCTGGTTATAAGGATTTTTGTTTTCTTTATGTTGCGATATAATCCATACTGAAGGCTGTAGTCTTTGATCTTCATCAGTAAGTGCCTCAAGTCCTCTTTACTTTCAGCAAGCAAGGTTGTGGCATCTGCATAACGCAGATTGTTAATGAGTTTTCCTCTAATTCACATACTGCCTTCTTCTTCATGTAGTCCAGTTTCTCAAATTATTTGCTCAACATACAGATTAGGTATGGTGAAAGGATACAACCCTAATGCACACCTTTCCTGACTTTAAACCACACAGTATCCCCTTTTTCTGTTTGAACAACTGCCTCTTGGTCTATGTACAGGTTCCTCATGAGCACAATTAAGTATTCTGGAATTCTCATTCTTTGCAGTGTTATCCATAATTTATTATGATCCACACAGTTAAATGCCTTTGCATAGTCAATAAAACACAGGTAAACATCTTTCTGGTATTCTCTGCTTTCAGCCAAAATCCATCTGACATGAGCAATGATATCCCTCATTCCACGTCCTCTCCTGAATCCTGCTTGAATTTCTGACAGTTCCCTCTCGATGTACTGCTGCAGCCATTTTTAAATTATCTTTGGCAAAATCTTAGTTGTGAGTGATATTAATAATATTTTTTGAGGTCGTAGCCTCAGGTAGGGAAGTTGTTATGGTTACATGAGAGATGTGCGAAAACTCAGTGTAAAGTGATAAATATTTGGTGGTGATATAGGATTGTCTCATTGCAATGACAGTTTTTCCAATAAGTTTTATTATTCATTGTGTGAATGTTTTTATGCGTTGGGTGTCCATAGCTGAGCTCCATGGTCATATGTGTAGGTAAACACGTATACATATCTGTGTTCTTTGCAAACTATGTGTTCTTTTTTTTTTTCCACTGTTGCATTGTTGATATTTTAATGAGCTCTTTTGATTTTGTCCAAATCAAATTCCTATGTAATTGAAATATTAAGTGATTTTTGTAAGCTCAGAACCACCCAAATCTCTCAAAGTTAAATGGCTGATAGTATTAAGTGAGTGCAGTAGTGCTGTTGGAGAAATTCATTATTTTAGTTTTCTGTCTTCAATAATCATGTTATTATTACATGGAATATTACTTGACTTGAAAAATTAAATCATGCTTAAAACTCTGGCCTTTCTTTTAAAGAGAAATTCCTTATTTTGGCCTTCAAGATCTACCACCATTAAGCCCCAACCTGCTTCTTGAAATATAAATCCTAACTTTAGCCAGGCTTCTTTACTCACTTGTTTCCTGCATAAATATTCTTTCTTCTTTGCATCTGTCTCATCCCTAATTTGAAGACCCAGCTCAAGTCAACTAGAAGAGATCAGTGAAGTGTAATTATGAAACCTAGGTGCTTCTTCTGCCTCTGTCAGTTGCTCACTCACTCCCTGTTGGATTTGTAAGGGCATTCCCAGGTTTAGGATCTTAGAGCTTATGTATGTTATGTTCGGTCTTTTCCTGTGCAACCTCATCTGACATCTCGACCATTCTTTCCTTTGCATCTCTGTAGACTCTCCTATCTGTACCATTCATTTACACACTCACTCGTCCACTTGTTTTATATCTTAAATGTTAATGTATCTACTTCCTTTCCAAACAAGACTGTGAGCTTTTTTATCGTGGGTTTGCCATGTTCTGTAGCTTGATAGCCCCCACAGCACCTGGCTTATTGCTGTACACCTGCACCCTTACACTGTTGGTTGAGTGAGGGAGAAGATCATCTATTTTATGATGCATTTCAAAAACTCTTGTATTATAGGTAACAACAATTACAGAGACAGATGAGTCTGCAGAATCAGAAGGTATAATTGATTGTCATAAACGTAGAGAAATCCTTTCACGAAGACCCTCTTATAGGTAAGTTACTGAAATTTCCTACTTTAATAATATTTTTTCCAAAAAAAGAATAATTGTACAACATATTCTTCCAGTATAGTTTTTGTTTTAAATTTCATTCATCTACCTTAATTATTTATATTGTTGCATTTTATTTTAGAAAAATACTGAATGAACTTTCCTCTGATGTGTCTGGTGTTCCCAAGATTGAAGAAGAAAAATCAGAGGAAGAAGGAACCCCACCTAACATTGCTACCATGGCAGTACCAACTAGCATATATCAGACTAGCACGGGGCAATACAGTATGTATGCTACAATACGATAAGATACACTTCTCGCGTTAAGTCTTCTGAAGTTACATTGAAGCACCTAGGGTTTTGGCGTTAAATTAGTCCATGTAAAATATACCTAAAGTGTGTATTATAGAATGAAAAGTATGTTATACAAGTAAGAGATTTGCATTGGCAGCTGTGATACACCTTTTAAAAGTAAACGTTTTCATTACTGAATGTAGAAAAAAAATTTCGGGTAAAAGTAAACAAGGGACAGTTTTTCCTATATATGTGTTTATGTTCATCTCTAGTAAAAATTTAAAACTTACCATTTTTTGTTATCTTTATGGAGCATGCGAACATCATAAGAGATAAATGTATTTGATTCTTGTTGGCTCTTGTTACCAACCATTACATATTATGCTTAGTAATCTAAAGGAGGTACATTTGTGTTTTAAAATTATGTTTTACATGTAATTCTGTGTTCATTACTCTACTGTATTAATTTGTGCTGCAGTTTTTCTTAACAGAGTATGGAAAAATGAGATATCCTTTAAAAGTATAGCAGTTGAACAGATCATTTTATTTGAAATTTTAAGCACTGAAAGCTCTAAATAAACAGATACATTCACATTTATTCTTGTGCATTTTAATGGATTGTTAATTCTGTGCTTTTTGCTCTAATTAAAGCACTATTTTTTCCCAAATAAAGAACAACTTTGATACATAAAAATACTTCAGCAAAAAAAAAAAAAAAATACTGTAAAAAGAAAAGGGAGGGGGAAATTACAGAAAAAGGATAGAGAAGAAAAAGAAAAAGGTAGCAAGTTAGGTACTGGAGTACATGTGACACTAAATGGTGTGTTGGTCCAAATAAGGCGTTTTAGATATATTTTCTGTATTTAAAAAGTAATAACACCTGGAAAAAACCTTAAGTAGTAATTTAGACTTGGCTTTTAAAGCAAGCTATAATCTTCTTTGACATATCGGAAGACCTTATATAGTCACTGGTTTTTTTTGAGCTTTTCTTGTAATGGTGATAGATTGGCACTGTTAAACTAATTCTTCTTTGGTAATTCAAGTTCTTTGGGTAGGTCCTCCCATGATACCAGGCAGTCTCTACAGGGTGCCCAGTGGACATGCCCAAAATCAGTATTAGGAAAAGAAAACCAACCCACTGTCAGAACTGGGCCTGGAAGTTTCTACTGTCATTTCCTTTTTATTATTTCTCTGGTTTATGTGCTTTCTTGTCTGGCCAAGTAGGACTATATGGTGGGAGTTTTAGAACTGTAAATCATAGTTTACTGGTGTGCCTCTGCAGTGCAGCCAGCAGGTGACAGGAGTGCTGAGTCCCTGGACGGGCTGGACAGGGCTTGGAGCTACCAGAGCCTTCTGGCTGGTCAGCTCTGGCCTTGAGCAGCTGTACACATACTATTTTTTTTTTTTTAATTGTACTTCAGGTGAAGGCTTACAGAACAAATAGTTTCTCATGAAACAGTAGTACACATTGTTTTATGACATTGGTTAACAACCCCACAACATGTCAACCCTCTCCTTTCTTGACCTTTTTTTTTTGGTGAATATATACATAGCCAAAGATACACCATTTCAAAAATTTCTACATGCACAGTTCAGTGACATCAACTATGCTCTTGCAACTGTGCTGCTATTCTCACTTTAGACGAAGGCTTACAGAACAAAATAGTTTCTCATTTAACAGTTAGTACACGTTGCCCTATGACAATGGTTAACAACCTCACAAGACATCAACACTATCCTTACTCAACCTTGGGTTCCCTATCACCAGCTTCCCTGTCCCCTTCTGCCTTCTGGCCCTTGTCCCTGGACTGCTGTACCTCATTAGTCCCATTTGGTTTTATGGGGCTGTCCACTCCCAGGTTGAAGGGTGAACCTCGGAGATGACTTCACCACTGAGCTAAAAGGGTGTCTGGGGGCCATACTCTCGGGGTTTCTCCAGTCTCCTTTAGGCCAGTAAATCTGGTCTTTTTTTTTTGTGAGTTAGAATTTTGTTCTACATCCTCCTCCAGCTCTGTCCAGAACCCTCTGTTGTGATCCTGGTCAGAGCAGTCAGCGGTGGTAGCCAGGCACCATCTAGCTGTACTGGGCTCAGTTTGGTGGAGGCCTTGAGCAGCTATACACATACTGTTATTTTCTATTTGTGTCATGACAGAGGAAAGGTGGGAAATTACTGCTGGACTAACACTAAGACACCTTAAGTTTTTGGAGATGATCTAAGGTGCTGTCATCTTACCATTTTCTCTGGCATATCCTAATGCTGCCTAAACCAAAAACCAAACCCACTGCCATCGAGTCGATTCCAACTTGTAGCGACCCTATAGGACAGAGTAGAACTGCCCCATAGGGTTTCCAAGGAACAGCTGGTAGATTCAAACTGCTAATATTTTTGCTTAGCAGCCAAATGCTTAACCACTGAGCCACCAGGACCTGGTGTAAGCCACGAGTGATCCCTTTACCGAATTCTATGGAAGGGGATAGTGCAGGTTTATTTGCCTAGATTGTTACTTGAAAATGGAAATCATGAAAACCTAGTGGGTTAAGAGAATGTTGAAGCTGGAGACGATGTGGGGAAGGAACCCTGGGCCTGGGAGTCCAGAGAGATGGCTTCTGGTTCTGGTCTCTGCAAACTCAAATATTGGGATGAGAAGCTTTATGTTCGCATCTCAGGTTTTTAGTCTTTGAAGTGGGAATAATACGAAATTGCCAGACCTCTGGAGTTAGTATGGGGACAAAAGGATAAAACAGATGAATGTGGGGCAAAAAGAACATGCTACTATTAACACTGGTCAGAGGAAATGTAAGGAGCAGTGACAGAGTCTCAGTCCCGGCCATTAAACTCTTTCCACCGGCCAGCATCGATGCCTTCATTCCTCTTGGGCTCTCAGTGCGTGCTTACAGCGCGGTGTCTGCATCAAACCTCACTCGGGGGTGGTGGTGGGGGGTAGAGTCAGAAATTCTGGTTGAGACCTAGAAGAGCGAATGTTTAGAAGTTAGACATTTGTCTCTTTGCCACGTAAGAGGTCATGAACTCTCTCTGACTTAGATTTCTTAATTTGGATCAATCCAGTATGATCCTGGCAGCTATTTTAAAGAGAAGTTGTGGTGGTTCTGTGTGTGCAGTCTATAGATACAGAGTGCCGTTGACTGGTTCACAAAAAGATTTCAGAGCTATCTGATGCCTTTGGTAAAAATACGTTTCTAGGACATTTAGTGACATTTGTTTATGTACTTTTTTTTTCATTTGAGAAAGGAATACTCACATTTGAACTTTTTAGAAGACGTTTATTTAATTGAAGGTAAATATATACTTAACAAGATCTATTTCATTGATCCTATGTCTTACTAGCAATAACTTAACAAGTATTAATGCTTTCATGTTGTACCTAAATATCTAGAAATAGAAACGATTACTGGTGTCCTTTGGCAGAGGCGTAGCAAGAGTCACGAGCATCCAGAGGCAATATCTAAGTTGCCCCTCCTGTCCAGTTTCAGGATGAGTAGAGATTGATGGTGATGCGTCAGCAGAAACCAGCAGAAAGGCCTTACCCCCTCTCGTCCAGCTGCCTTAGTCAGGCGCCTTTCATATTTGTAGCGCCTCTGAATGTCATTCCACGCCTCGTCTGGCACCCCCTAAAACTTGCACCTGGGGGCGAGTGCCCCCCTCCTGCCCCTTCCCTCACTATGCCTCCATCTTTGGTTCTTAGAATAGCGAAGTTTATTTTGCTAGAATATCTATAGAATTTCCATTGTATTTATGTGTATCTATTTTTGAGACCCTTTCATGACCTTTTATTGCAAAAATTTTTTTTAGGTTTAATTCTTTGTTCAACTTTTATGCATGATGACTTTCCCCCAAACTTTGTTTTCTTTTCTTTTAAAAAGATTATCCTTTCAGATTAATTCTTTATTTTTAATTTGGTATAGTGACAGTTAGTTGGAATTAAAAAGAACTAAATATGTGTCAAAGCTGAAATAAAATAAAAGTAAACATACTTAGGTTTTCTCATATAAACAGTTACATTTGTAAATAGTTGAAGGTTAGATATTTGACAGAAGTTGGCTTCATTATTTTCAGCTTTTTTTTTTAATCACAAAAACTAAACAATAAATGTTGGAATACGTTACTCCCTGGAGGTAAGAAAAATAAAATAGGCTGGGGATTCATTATTGCAACACCAAGTAGGTGAGCGTCACTTACAGAGTCTTCCTGGAGGTACAGATCTTAGTGGTAGATTTGTTGTATGATAATTAAGTGATTCTGGTCAGAGAAAATCTGTTGTATCTCAGGAGATTATCTGCGAATCAGGATGGTGGCTCAGGTAGTCCTAGAATTAGCAAAGAATGTTACTTGCTGCATACTACATTTAAAAGATGCATTAAATGAGAGTGAATTCATAAAAGCCTAGTAAAAGCAAGGGAAGAAATTGAAATGTTTGATGAAGTTTCTTTCCTCATTAATTTTTCTCTAAAGACAAAATGTTTTCTTTTATCCCTCACTCTACTGTATCCTACTCCCTCCATTACCAATTAAGAACTATCTCTCATCCAAGACTTAACATTTTTGTCTACATATCTCTTGTCTCTCTGCTTGCTCCTACCTTATTTTACTAGGAACCTTATTAGAATGAGTCTCTACTAATTCATCTTTACTGGAATTCTTATACACTAAAGGTAAGTGTGTCAATCCAAAATCTACCATTATGAAAAGATGTATGTGAACTTCGTAGACTGCTTAAAGAATTCAGAGTCCTCCGGAGACGCATATGAATAAACACCAATTCCATTTCTTCATAAATGGGATTTGCACATGATAGGCATACACATTCTAAAGTAAATGCAGTTGCATTTATTGTTAGGTGTAATGACTTCGCTTAAAATCCTCGAAGCTAACTGTTTCAAAGTAAACATAATAGGAACCAAAAGAACAAAAAAAAAAACAACTCATTGCCATTGAGTTGATTTCAACTCATAGTGAGCCTATAGGACAGGCTAGAATTGCCCCAGAGGGATTCCAAGGGAGCAGCTGATGGATTTGAACTACTGACTCTTAGGGTTAGCAGCTGATCTCTTAACCACTATACCACCAGAGCTCCCAGGTCTTGAACTGTAGCAATGCTGTGTTAGCCTTCCTTCTGCTGTATGTACGTCTTGGCTTTTAAGGCACAGATACAGTCTCTTTTGTGCTCACTTTTTGAATTTAGAGCTGAGAATTCATTGGAAAAAAGGTCTGCTTTTCTTTTTAAAGTTAATGCAGTGAGGTTTCATTTGTGAATCTTTCCATTGCAATTTGGAATGAGAGTGATTTTAGATTGGAATTAATTAAACATTTACATGTGTATGTATTTAAACTAGCTTATATGTACAGGTTTAGAGTTAAAAAGATGTTAGCGTCAAGTAAAAAGAGAGCTCAGACAAAATCTTAATTTATAAAAATTTTATTCCTTCTTCATTTGATCAACTTTTTTTTTTCAAGTCTTCCACCCTTTTCTTGCTCATCTTTCTCTTCTTCCTTCTTTATTAATTATAAAGGACTTTGAAATAATTACCCTTTAAATTAAAACTTTTTTATCAGAATTGTTGAATTTTTCTCCCATAGTATTATTTCCTTTAATCATACTAATAGCTCTTGGGAGAAGTGCCCAGTGGTAATTAATAGTGGAAGTAGCAGATTTTTAAGCACAGTTTGTGTCCCAAGAACTTTTTTAGAACTTATTGTCTAGATTAGTCAATGTGATACCATCCTGGTTACCACGGTATATGGTGAATTGGGTGGGGAAGACAATACTTGGGTTAATACTTATTTGAAATTAAATACTATGATTAGATAAGGACATATATAAAGATGTTTGTGTAACCAGCTAAAACTAATATAGTAGAAATGTACTCAGCAAATTAATTTTTTACATTTTTTTATATTTAGAGTAACTCTGTTAATTTCAGTGTGTTCAACATTTAACCAGTGGGTATAGAGTGACCTACTTAATTATAGAGTATAGCCCACCTGAGATGTTGAGGGAGGAGAAGTGTTATTTAGGTAGCTCCCAGAGCAAGTAGGACAATAGATCCTAACCTCTGCCCACTACTGGTCAAGCAGATGACGTACTAACAGGTGTGAGTCAATAATGGAAATTGAAGTTGAGTTTAATTGACTGTATAATCTAGCTAAGGATCCTGGTGACAAAGTGATTTAAGTGCTCAGCTATCAACTGAAAGATCGGTGGTTCGAACCCACCAGTGGCTCCGCAGGAGAAAGATGTGGCAGTCTGCTTCCGTAAAGATTACAGCCTTGGAAACACTATGCGGCGGTTCTACTCTGCTGTATAGGGTCGCTATGAGTTGGAGTTGACTAGATGGCAGCGGGCTTGGTTTATAATCTAGCTGTTCAATATTAATTCATTTTATGAAACTGTAATATTATTAAGGATTACTCGTTGGAGAAATTTAAGTTATGCATATAGTCTATAAAAAACAACAACATTTGCTCTGCTTGAGATCCAGTCAATATTCATTCACAGGTCTGTATGGACTCCCATTGCTACCAACAAAAATGTATATGGCCATGGATATAAGTGTTTATGCCTTAGCTGCATGTGTCAATCCAGAAAAGCATTACTAAGGATTAGGTCCCCAAAGTAAAATCAGTAAGAAATACAAAGGTATTTCATTTTCATTACTCAACTTACGGCCTCAATAAGGACCAATCATTTTATTTAAAAATGATAGATCAAACATGGTATCTAGGATTTGTTTTTAAAAACTCCAGGGAAAAAAAAAGTTTGAGGATGAGTGAGCAGGAAAAATAGATGATACAAAATCCTCTTCTACTTTTATGTTTGCTAGAAATTTTCCATAATTTTTTAAATAATTATGTAAAAGATGTATGACTAAACTCAGTTAATTTTATCTTATTTTTTCCTACTGCTTAGTTTGATGTATGTTTACTAAAAACATATTATGCTATCTTTGAATATTTTGCAACCTAAAAAGTTTCTTTTCAGCTCGTTTGAAAACACACACACACACACAGAAAGCCTATTCCTAATTTCCTGAAGCATTAGGAAATCTTGTTTATTGTCCAACAAGAGATAACATTTTGAATGGGAAGGTCCTCTGTCATTTTACAATGCCAATATCAAGAGTGCCTTCTGTACAAAAATAAAAGCTAAGCTAAAATAGGAGACTTACTGGTAGGAACATTTTTCGCCTTGATCCCACGTGTGTGCCTGCATGTGCGCGCGCGCGTATGTGTGTGTGTGTGTGTGTGTGTGTGTGTATTTAGCTTTTGTTTCCCACATCTGATTACATAATGACTTGACCAGAAGATAAAAGCTACAGGACAAACAGATTGTTGGTATGTTGGCTTTTCACAGTGAAAAGAAGAAAAGTTTTGGTTGGAATTACGGGGAAAGATTATTGAAAAAGTAAGGATCTTTGTTATCTACATATTTCACGGTTCATATCCTTGGAAGCAGCTGCTGTCACCTCAGATTTCCTAATCTGAAAGCTGGATATTTGTATTAGAGTTGAAAAATTAAGTTCTATATTTGAAATTTGATACCAAACTTCATTTAACTCTACTGGATTCACAGGCGGCTTAAATTGGTTATAATATAGTCCGCCTTAAGGAAACAATAGCCATTCATTCATCATATTTATGAGTGCCTGCTGTGTGTTAGACCTTTTGCTTAAATGATGTTAAAACCTAATACTTGTGGTTATACTGCCTGTGTCTGTGCTTTCTAAAGCACACCTTCTATCACATCAAACTAATTGTCAACTGAAAATACACACTCAGATATATGACAACATAGGAAATTCATTCATGTCCAGCCATGAAGATCCAAGAAAGCAATATCTCTTGTCTTTTTCATACTTCTCTTTTAAGAAGTTAGACATAGTTAGATCTCTCCCAAACCCGCTTATTGTATGAGGTGAATCTTGAGACCCTTGAAAATTTTGGGAGAGTCATGTTGAAACCCTGTTTTTAAAATTTGAACAGAATAAAATGGCCTGGATGAGCCAGACAAAGTGTTAGTACCCCAGGGTTTCTCAGTCCCGGCACTATTGACATTCTGTAACCGATTATTCATTTTCTGTCACTCGTGTTCTAATACAGCTTGTCAGTGAACAAAAATGCAGAGAATGTGTCTGTGTTGAGATCTTTTTAAAAATGTTTATCCACATTTCTGTTAGGCTCTAGAAGCTTACGTCAAAGAACTGAAGATTTGTTGTTGCTATTGTTAACCTTTTCCACAGTTCTGACAGGCTTATCCTGTCCCATCATCACCTAAGTGGTCTTTTGCTTCAAACCAAAATCCAAACCCACAGCCGTCGAGTTAATTCGAACCAATAGCAACCCTATAGGACAGAGTAGAACTGCCCCATAGGGTTTCCAAGGCTGTAAATCTTTACGGAAGCAGACTGCCACATCTTTCTCCTGCAGAGCGGCTGGTGGGTTTGAACCACCGACCTTTTGGTTAGCAGCCGAGTGCTTTAAACACTGCGCCACCAGAGCTCCTTGGTCTTTTGCTTAGATACCATTTAAATGTTTGGGGATGAGTATATTCAGAGTATGTTTTAGACATTACTATAACATTCTTGGGCTCAAACATAGCAATGATTGTGAGAACGGCACAGGACCGGGCAGTGTTCCGTTCTGTTGTACATAGGGTCGCTATGAGTTAAAATCGACTCATCGGCACCGAACAACAACATAACATCCTTATAAGGCATTTACATTGTGTTGTGTTATTCTTACGGTGTCTTTTTTTTTGGTCTTCATTATAGTCCAGTTAGCTACTTTATATATGACTTTTCAAAAGAAAGTATAGCCCTTGTTTCCACTAGTTTCTTGTGCTTAAATTACAACATTTAGTCCTCATGGTAAAGTGTACAGGCCCCTCAGATATTTTGAACAGGACTTAACCTGTCACTTATAGTGAAAATTTAAAACATTTGATCAATTATTCTTTTGAAACTTTAATGTTACTTTTAAATATGACTGGCAAATTTCAGTATTTAGAGAAAGTCTGCCTCATGTATTTGCTGCCATTATCTGTCGTTATCCAAGGCTCTTTGTAGAGGTAAATGTTGTAGCACAACTTCTTTCAATAATATTACCTTTTAAGGTCTTTTCCAACTTGCCATAGTCAAGATGGTAAAGGTCACAGTTTTGTAGACTTGAGCTTTAAAACCGAAATATATAATATTTATTCCTTTAAAAGCTACTTTCTTTCGATGATAAATTAGAAAAATAGCTGAATGAAGGTATAAATTCATTGTAACTGTGATGCTCAAAAGGAAATCTCATGGACCATTTCTTAAATGTTGAAAGAATGTTGTTTATGACTAAAAATATCTGAGAGAATGGAGAAAATTAAAAAGTTGGACTCTTCTGCATCTTCACTCTTCGTCATAAATGATTCAGTTAGATGGGTGCCAGGGAGGAGGAAAACTCCATGGATTATATGAATTTCAAACAATTCTGAATATAAAAATATTTCCAAGTGTTTAAGAGCTTTTTTCAGAGTATTGCCCCATAAAGAAACTGATGATCCTTAAGATTCAGAATAGAGAAATAAGGGTAATGGAAATGAGAGGCGGTGGTAATAATCAGACTCAGAATATATTCTCCCAGTATGGGATTATTAAAAATGAATCTTGAAATTCTCTAATATTTCTTTTCTTTTTCTGTTAAGTTGCTATAGCACAAGGTGGAACAATCCAGATTTCTAACCCAGGATCTGATGGTGTTCAGGGACTACAGGCATTAACAATGACAAATTCAGGAGCTCCTCCACCAGGTGCTACAATTGTACAGTATGCAGCACAATCAGCTGATGGCACACAGCAGTTCTTTGTCCCAGGCAGCCAGGTTGTTGTTCAAGGTATATTTTATTAATCTAATACATTTAGAATACCTGTGGATTACTACATCACACCATTTAGTGGTGATTTTATAGTTTACTGAAATACACAGGAGGTAGATTTTCTTGGAGGGGGAAGCAGGGAGGCACTTGAAAAGACTTGATTAGTATGTTAATTTAATTTAGTACATTAAACAGCAAGTTAAATAAATTATGTGATTTTTACTTTTTAGCAGATTTTACAGCTCTAAAGAGGTTAAATTCAGTGTAGGATGATGGAAAAAGGGAATTGCAAACATGAATGTTTTAATTAAGTAAATATCCCAAATATATTTCTGACATTACCTAATCTATGAAGACATAAGTATTAAGTCCATGATGCACTGAATTTGTTTTTTTAACCCAGCTGTTATACTCAAGTCTAATTTCTAGACAACTCTTTCCAAACAAATGCTGATTTTTCTTTAGACCATTCTTATTATATTTGAATTATGAGGTACCCATTCTAGCTCTATGGAAGCTGACAATAGTGAAATAAAACAGTTGTAATGTATCCCTAAACTTTTAGGGTTACCTAAGATTTTATGACTGTACGGAGCCCTGGCAGCCCAGTGGTTAAGCACTTGGCTGCTAACTGAAAAGTCAGCAGTTCGAATCCACCAGCTGCTCCATGGAAGAAAGAGGTGGCAGTCTGCTTCTGTAAGGATTGCAGCCTTGGAAACCCCTATGGGGCAGTTCTGCTCTGTCCCATAGGGTTGCTGTGAGGTGGACTCAGTGGCAGTGGGTTAAGATTTCAATTACATTTGAGTTATACATTATTTTAATTTCATTCAGTTGTGCTTACGGTAACTATAATAGGTGTGTTTAATACAACTTTCAAAAATCCTGTGTTTTAATTGATTTCTATTCCTTTTGATCTGTTTGCTTAGAACTTACGGTATATTGCTAATTTTAAGAATAATAATATTAGGTTTTTTTTAGTTTGAAAGTCTTGTATGTATGGAAGAAAGTAGATTATAATTTGTGAATATCTTAATAGTTAGCTTTAATCTTACATATTTTGGGTGTTACTGTAGAATATGATAAAAGTATACATAGAACTGAAGTGGTGGCACTTAAGGGATAAAAAATGCATAGTACTTACCCAATACTTTAATCTTTTAAGTGTTAAAAAAAAGCCACCTGTTATATTTCCCACATGCTCATGGACCTTATAAGTTTAAGTGCATAATCGTAAAAAATAATAATTTATCATTTTATCTTTTTTACATGGAAAATTTACAGTAAACTTGATTCTTTAGCAGCAAAGAGAGTGTTTAAAGTCATTCTCTTCTACATAAATAGTACACACGTAAGGCTTGTGCTTTTGGGGTTTCATTTAAGAAGGCTTTTTCTCCTACAAGTCACAAAGATATTCTTCTCTATTACTTTCTACTAGCTTTACAGTTTTACCTTTCACATTTAGATTTTTAATCCAGCTGGGGTCTACCTTTGTATGCAGTGTTTGTATTTTGGGGCCAGTGTCCCCCTTCTAATGGCTTCTCCTTTCTCCATGAATTTATGGGAATAACCTTAATTGTAAATAGGTTAACATATATACTGACTCTGCCTCAGAACTCTATTCTGTACCACTGATCACTTTTTCTTTGTCAGTGCCATACGGTTTTGTTATTTCATAGGACAAGTTATTTATCAGTGCTGATTTGCTATTTGTGAACCATCATTCTTTAATATGAACATTTTGGAATTAAGTTTGAGTTTCTGAAAAATCTTTTTTAAATAATAATAAAAAGAAACCAAAGGTGAACCTGCATTTAATTTATGGATTAATACAGAGACTGAAGTCTTTATAATGTTAAATTGACCTATTCAAAAACAGAGAATATCTCCTCATTCATTCAGATCTTATTTTACTCTTTCAACAGTTTAATATTTTCCTCCATAGAGGTCTTGCATATTGTTTGTTTAGTTAGTTCCTAAATGTTTTATGGTTTTATTGCTATTATGAATGGTACTTTATTTTTCAGTTACATTTTCTAGTTAGTTATTGCTGGCATAGAAAAATTTTTTTTTTTAAGTTGTTTTACCTGTCAACCTTGCTAAACTCATCTAATGTTCTGTTGATTTTCTGTGAATCACTCTGTGATACTATGTGGATGTGTATATCATATACAAGTAGTGATATTTTGTTTCCTGCCTTTCTATCTTTAGTCCTCTTCCCCTTTCTTTCCCTCCCTTTCCTTTCCTCTCTCTCTCTCTCTTTTAATAATGGTGGCCCAGAGCTCTAGTTCTGTGTTAAACACAGAAAGGGCAGTGAGCATTCTTGTCTTCCTTAACTTCAAGAGATTGCTTACTTCCTGTCCACCTTCCACCCTGTCATCACACTGAAAGGTCACATCCATTTTATTGGTGAGTTTTCAGTCCTAAACTTGAGCAGAGTATTTGACATTGTTGACTGCCGCCTCCTTCACTTCCCCAGTGCTGCATTCTCTTTGTTTTTCTCTCCCTCGGGTCTTTCTCTCAGTCTCCTTTGCTGGGCTTATCTCCCTCTGCCCACCGCCCACCTCCCACCTCATAGATGTGACCAGTATTCCTCAGGATTGCATCCTGGGCCCTCTTCCCACCTGACTGGATAAACTCTCCCTGGATGCCCTCATCCCCTCTCGTGGTTTCAATTAATGTGGCTACGCCCCTGACTCCAACTGACTACTTGGATGTCCCGTGCCCATCTCTGACTCCTTAAGTTCAAAACTCAGCTCCACTTTTCCACCCCAAATCTCTTTATTTACCCTAGTTCAGTGATGTACCACTACCTATCCTGTTGCTTCAAGTCAGAAAAAGGGGTCTTCCTAATCATCTTCCTAATCATGTGAGAGACAGCAGCTCCCTTCTTGGCCCAGTCTTTTGGGAATTGTTTCTGGAAGTTCCGCTAAGAGTTTCTTTCTTCATCCCTCCCAACAATTCTGGGAACTACTACTATTTCTTAAAAACAAAAGTCTCTGCCTCCGACATTTCCCTTTCTCTATTATACTCTCTATTCTTCAGTTCGATGATACTTCTAAAATGGACATCTAATCATATCCTGCTCAGAACCCTTCAGTGGGTGTCTGTTACTGCTACACAAAGTTCAGAATCCTTAACATGGCCTACATCTCTGCTTGGTGTAGGCAGTTGTATGTTGGATTTCTTTCATTTCCTCTGATGTGGCTGCCACCCTCCTCCCCTCCTCTCTAGGGCCTTCACACATAGCTGTTTGCTCTGACAGAAACACATTCCCCAATCTTACGCATTATTCGGATTTCATCTTAGATATCACTTCCTCCAGGAAGCCTTCCCTGATCCTCCAAATCTGGTTAGGCAACCCCTCTGAGTTCTCATTGCACCTTCTTAGGGCACATAGCACACTTTATCGTGACTCTGTCCTGCACTAGATGGTAGGTTCTAACTGGACAGGAATCAGGGTATTTTATTTACCTTTGTTTCCCTGGTACCTAGCACAGTTCCTGGCATATGATAAATGTTCATAAACATTTACTAAATGAAAGTGAAATACTTTTCCTCTGTGAAAATGTTACTAGTTCCCTGTGCTGGTTAACTGAGTTTAACTGGTCCAGGGAGTCTATTAAAACTTTACTCATAGCAGAAATCACTAAGCAGCCCACCTCCCTCTTTCTTTTCCTCCCTCTACCCTTTTTAACACTAATATTTATTGAACACCCAAGTACCAATCTAGAAAAATATCAAGATAAAAATTACTTTGAGCTTTCTGAAATTTGAGATAAATTTGCTAATAGTAGTTATGATTTATTTATGAATGTAAAAAACCACGAAGCTCTTTTCAAGGGGTTTTAATCTGCTAAAATAATGTATTAGGTTGAACCACATGAAATTGCTGTTTTGTGGGCCAAAAGAGATTGGATGCTAGCAGTTGCATATGGTTCAATCTAATATTTATGGAAGTGTGGTATAGAATATAATGCTTCATTGGCACAGTGATTTTTTTTTTTAATTTCATTATCTACGCCCTTCTAGTGAAATTAACAAGTTCTCTATCAGCATAGGAACAGGTGGATTCTATAATGTTTTAGCAAGTGGTTCAGCAAATACAAATGTGCTAAGTGAACAAATCTGGCTGGCTGTTTTTTTCTTGGTGAATATAGACATGTGTATGAAGTACCTTAGTCTTTCTGTGGTGATTGTCAGTTTTGTTTTTTTTTTAAATCCCTAAAATTTAAATCTCAGAGTATTTTTTCTCTTCCTGTGAGTTATGAAAAACACACACCGTCGTTTTCCGCCTGTGTTTACCTGGAAACCTGAGACACAGCAATAATAAAGAAGCAGCCCCATTAGAAACAACCATGTTACTCTTTATGCTAATGGGATGTTTTTTTGCCAGAGCCTATCTCAGCAGATTTCTCTGTGAAAATGAGAACATTAAGATGGTTTATTATGAGAGTTTTTATAGGGCTTTGGTTTCAGTGAGCTGTTCTGTGACAAAGCAGATTGATGGCAGTGATAGGCTAGTGATGTCATTGTGATGTCAATACTCCTACTTACCCAGCACATGCTTCCTAGTTTGGAACATTTTATGTTGAACTGTGATAAGGGGAACAAGACAATTCTGTATGCAGAAGCCCGTCATGGCTGTAACCGGAGATGAAACAGGTAAGAATATTCAAGAGGGGTCTTTTCTGCAGATTTTTTTTCTCGAAGTTCTAGAAAAGATAAATTATTATGTCTGCGTGCTTCTCAAAGTGTTCACTTTCTAGTGGTAGTAAGAAGTTTCCTTTAATTTATATCTGCATATATTCAGCTCACTCCGCGATGGCATCTCAGTGTAATTGCTTCTCTGCTCCGAGTTACACGGCTCGCTGAACCAAGGCAGCAGTCTGTTTCTCTGGCGCGCGCCCTCGCGCCCGCTCTCCTCCTCCCTCTCACCCCCCCCCCCCCCCCGCCATTCTACTCTACTAAAATAAGCTGTTACTTCATTTGCAACCTGTTGCAAATTCAGTCCAGCTGCAAGTTAAAGATACACACTCTTAAAGTTGTAAAAAAAAAAAAAAAAAAGCTTCTGATTTGATTGCTGTGTACTAATGTAGCTCCAAACAGAATAGGAAGACCTAGCGGGTTGTGGATGTTTGTGTGCCTACTTGTTTCTTTCCTCCAGGATTTAAAATGGTCTGTTCCTCCGCTAATTGAGTTCAAAGGGCTGACGTCATTACATTTCCTGGAATCGCGTTTCAGCAGGGAAGTGGAAAAGTTAAACGCCAAGCGAGCTGCACATTGACGTCAGCTCCGAGTCATGCTGTGATTTAGTTGGTTCCTTTCTGCTTTGTCAAGTGCTGCTGACAGATTTAGAGTTGTTAAGTAGCTCATCACTGCCTCTATCTCCAAGATCGCTCTCATACCGAATAGCTTTTTCTTGTAAGCCTCACTTTGTTAACATTCCTCTGGCGGTAAGTAGCTGCTTGACGAGGGGGAACCTGCCCTCAACCTGGAATGCTTGCCCGAGCAGGAACCCAGGAGCTGTCTGGCAGGCGTCTAGGGTAAGGTTGAGCCTCCCGCCGAGGCAGTCCCTGAACGTGCCCCTGTGAGGCGTCCACTAGATATAGCTGGAGGTTTTCTTTACTCAGGGTTAGCTACTAAGAACTTGTGATTCAGAGCGCCCTCTAGTGCTCAGTCAGGGAAGTGCTTGCCTTTTAATTGTTCCCTCGGCCTCTAGTGTTTAAATTAGTAATCAGTACTTCTTTACATGGTTTGGTTTTCTTAGTAATTTTTCAGATAGTGATTTTGAAAGACTTTGTTGCTGATGGCCTTTATGTGGCTGCAACATTGTGTATACGATGGTGTCTTGTTTACTGAATTGGCAGTTGAATTCAGCAAGAATGCATGATTATGAACAGCTTAACCATGGTTAAAGCTCTTCAGAGTTAGTGGGTCTCAGTCCTTTTTCTGGATAGTAACGTTCAATTGTCTTGAGTATTGAAATGCAGCATTTTACAAGCAAGTAAAATTTGTGTTAAATTGTTTTTTTAGTTGTCTTGAGCTGTTGTTTTTCTCAAGAGTTTTTGTGAAGTTATCCAGGTGCTATAGGTTGCAGAAGCTCTCAATTTACAATTGATACAAATGAACTTAATATAAAATAAAAGATTCTGAGTGTTAATAAGTTTTATTTAGCCTAGATTTCTGAATTCAAGTTTGTTAGTTAATATTTGATGCACAATAACAAGGATATATGTCACCTTTGTGAAAGGAAGCTGCTGGAAATGATTTTTATGTGGAAATTTCCACATAAAAGAATGGTTCAGACCAAGGTATAATGGCTTCTTGAAGTTACTAGCAAAGCGTGTTACAATCATGTTGGAAATGAAAAAGAATCACTTATGTTTCAGTAAAACTCCAGATCATATGGAAGGTTTAGCACAATTGCCATTATCCTATTTTCCCACTGTTTTTGAAAAAATTTTTAATGAAATATAATTTGGGATAAATGTTTCACTTTGCTGTGTTTTGTTTGTCTATGTTAATATATTGCCCAGCAAAATAATTATGATAATTATTTGCATTTATGTAAACTTTAAAATTAAAAAAAAAAGAAACAGTGTTACAAATAAATATGTGAGCACAAATTGTGGTAAGTGCTATCAAGGAAACTGACAGGGAGGGGACAGCAAGAGACCAATAGGAAGCAGGTAATAAAGGGTCAAGGATCTGGGTAGGCCTCTCTGACAAAACTGCTTAAATAAAGAAAAGGAGAAGAGCTTTACAGGGGTTCTCTCTAACGTAAATGAGCATAATATTTGCTTTGTGTGCATCAGTGAGAATGCCTGTGAAGTTCTTCTCTTTACAAAGCTAACAAGTGGTGGACCAGTTTGGGTCTTCAGACTCCTTGCCTAGTTCTGTTCACACCATATCACATTACTTCTCAAAATTCACATGATACTGATAAATTAATGCTAATGTAACATGAGTTACAATAGCATGCTACACACCATTGATAAAACATGTAAGATAAAGTTAGCATGGTGTTAGTCAAAATGGACTTTTTCTAGAATATATGTCATTACTTTCATAGGACAATAGAGCATATAAATATTAATTAACATTAAATTAATTAATTAAATTTCAATATTCATCACTTCCCATCTTTTACATAGAATTTTTTACACTAAGATTTTCACTTAAACAACTCAGGCAGGTTGAAACTTATAAATATTTAACAACTTAATTCTCTGCAGCCTGTTTGTTATAGTAGTTGTAATAAATTTGAAAAACGTGAGTGCTTAAATGCTGAGTCAGTGATTAAATAGTTATTTTTATATAGGATTTAATTTTCATGGAGAAAATAGAGCAGTGGAGAAGGGAATTTTTTTTGGCAGTATGGGACACCTGGCAAGGACAAGCCTGATTTGAGTCTTAGGGCACTGTTGTGATATAGGGAGGGCAAGAACCAGAAACAAAAATGGAGTCAGTAGCTTCTTCTTGAAGCTAGGGAAAGAAGTCCTTCCTTATAAATATGATTTCTGGGTTCCCTCTATTGCTTATGTAGGTTCATTTAGGATTAGTGGCACACTGTGAAGCATCATATGAAGGTAGGAGCTCCATACATAAAAATGTTTGTATTCAGTTAATGTGCCCGGTACTACAGAGCTCTCCATAAATAAATAAACAAGTAAATAAAATCAGCATTATTTGGGGTGTTGATCAGTTGTTTCACTTTGGAAGTTATCAAGATAGGCATTTGGTTGGGTTTCTCATTTTTTTATTTGTTTCCTACTTTTTGATTTGTGGGGTTTTTAGTTTTCTTATTACCAGTCTAATGAGAATGTACCATTTGGTCATTTGTGATTCTCCACCTTCAAGGTTCTATTTTAAATGATTATATGGATAGAAAAGGACACTTTATCTTTTAATAATTTATACTCTAAGGGGATATAACAAAATATAAACTGTAAAAGTTTCTTAATAGGCATATTTTTAAATAAAATAAGCAAATAAGAGCCATACATTTCAATCATTCTATTTCCCATGTTTGTGAGAAGGGAAACTCCAGGGAAAAGTATATTTCTGGATGTTATGTGCCTTTTAACTAATATACAGTATAAGCATAATTTGGAACATTGTCTTTCAGAGCTTAAGGAAGGGAAGAGGAAGGGAACTACCATGTGCCAGGCACTGTGCTAGACACTTTGACATACATTACAGGGTTTATTGTGAGTATTAAATGAGATAATGTATCCCCATTTTACAGATGAGGAAACTGAACTTGCCCCAAGTCACATGGCTGGTAAGTGCCAGAGCTGGACTAGAACCCAGACTCCAAATCCCATGCTTTTTCTGCTGTACTGTGTTTAAAGCTTGCAAAGAGAGGTATGAACTAATGACCAGAATCGAGAGTTCTAGGAATTTTCTTTTCCCATGAAATATTTGATACTAAACCTAAAAAAAATTTTTTTAAATGTCAGGACTTAGGGTTTGAAATGTTATAATTAGAACTCCTCTGCTTCTACAATGCCAGATTACTAGATGATTAGTATCCAGTGGGAGATTTACCAAGAAAGGCCCCTTTGAATAAACATGACGTCTTGTAGGGCTTCCCATGTCTTAATGTTAAAGACTTGAAGACTTAGTGATAATAACATAAGTCTGTAAATCGTTATGAGTCGATGGCACTGACTCAACGGCATCTAACAACGACAACAGCAACATAAGGAAGACTGCTTATTTTGTTCATATAAACTTTCCAAATGACCATGGGTTTATGCAAAACTCAAGCAAGTTCAAAATTTACTTAGCAGTGTACACATAAACTCATCAAGCACCCATTATATGCCAAGTACTGTGCTAGATGGTAGAGGATACCAAGGTAAAAAAGTTGCTATCCCTGACTAAAAGTTTTTCCTTGCCTGAGAAAAAATTAGTATATAAATGTCTTTTTCTTATTATCTTTTTTCAATCATAATTTTAAGCCCCCAGTGATGACCCATTTATATTTAGAGATAGTTTATACAATGAAATTCTAGAATAAAAATAAATATGGACACTTTTACTGATTAGATGGAACAAGAATTGGCCTTCATGAGAGTACAGGGTAAGAATATGTCAACAAAGAATGTAGGATGGTTCTTTGAACTGGGATCCATAGATACCTGTTTTAAATTACCACTTATGAATTAATATCGGAAACTTAGATAAAAACTTTTTTATAACTTGTTTAAAAAATAAAACTGTTTAACATTTGGATTTCCTGACAACAAGAAATTCTCTTTGCCCATATCTTTTTTATGAACTTCACTAATAAGATCATATTTGAATATATGGAATTTATCAATTGATATTTATTTAGTGACCATTAGAAGTATACCATCATATAGATTCTTTGGGATATTACAGAAATTTGTACTAATTCATCCTACTTCATACTAATTTACACTAATTTATACTAATTCATATTCTGGCTTGAGCTAATGAATTGCAATCTCTGACCTTTGTTGAAGGAAATAAAATGAATATATGCTATGTCTGAGAAATAGTAATAAAGCCCAGTTTTTCAGCTAACATCCCAGAACTAATACATCCAAATATATCATTCCCTTCCAAAGTATCATTGTAAAGTGATTTTTTTCCCTGAGCCATTGCTCAAAATGTTTTGAGAACACTTATTTTGGAATGGCCATGTCAGGTTTTTTTAATTATCCTCCATAGCACCAAATTTGGTCCTTGAGGGTAGTTCTGGTTTTTGGAAGCAGGCAAAAGTTGCTTAGAACCATTTTTAGTAAATATAAGGCTAGTGAATAACTTTATTTCTCATCTATGAGGTATTCTCACCCATCCCTCTCTTTTTCATTTTTTTTCCCCACAATGGATACTCTTAAACTATCTTGTATATCTTGTAAGCACTCTGCTCTAACTTTATATTACAGAAAATAGCAAACATACACAAAACTACAGAGAATAGTGAGCCCCTCTGTACCTTTCTATTAATTTTATTGTGCTTCTTTGTAAGCTGTGTTTTGAACAGAAAGAATAACCCTCGACCAAGGTATGCTTCCATGCTGCCTGCAAATGTTAACACAGTGACATGTATAATCCTCATTTGTCACTGGTGGTTGTTCCAATTTTAGAAAGCCTAGTAGCCTCCAGCTGTTCAGTTGTTTCAACCTTTATTACTCTATAACCTTCATCCCTGGATGTGGGTAAAGAGAAAAGCAGGGCAAACTACTTATTCTTTGTTCCACCCAATCTCCAATGACAATATGATTAAGATACTTAAAAACAAACAAGCTGTTAGTAAATTAACAGTTTATAACTGGTTTTTAAATTATCTTAACTATTTCAAAACTATGAAATAGGAGACATCTGTGTATACAGTATACTCTGTAGTCACAACAACAAATTTAGGACCAGAGATTTTGCTGGTGATCATTATATTTATCACCATTATTTTTTAAAATTATACTATTTAGAAGAAAGAGGAAGTGTAATCTTATAATGGTATTTTTATTAATCTTATGAGGACTTTCCTTTAAATGATATTCTTACAAAGCCATGTTTTTTGGTCTCACCTAATTTTTGAGCCCAGGGAGGAAAAAAAAGACTGGCATATACCAAACAGAGCATATAGATTAGTTCATTTTTGTTTTAACTTTTTAAGACTACTTGGATAGTAGTGATTTAGCTGAAAACAGCTTTGTCTCCCATTTGGGTAAAACTCAGTTCCTACTCATTGAGTATAATATATTTTAATGAAATACAGAAATGCTGTACTTTCTATTTTGATTAGCATTTGGTTCAGATCGGTTTTTACAGGATTTAAAAAGCTACATATATATGTTTTTTACCTTTTTCTTACATTTAGCTTTCAGAAAGCATGTATTTGTAGTATCTCATCAGAGTGTCAAATTAACTCTGGACTATCTGTTCTCAAAGTTGAAGCGTTGATGATAGAAACATGTTTCATTACTCAAATCCATCTGTCTCTTCTAGGAAGCTATGTTTATTGCAGTAGATAGACAATTTTTTAATATAAATTAGGAAACTTTGAGGACTTAAATTTAGTATTCAGTCTGAATACTAAATAAATATCGAATGTCTTTTAGCTATATGATTACACTATAATTAGAAAATATATATTTTTAAATGAGCACTTAGGAATGTATTATTATCCCAAGGAACCTAAGGAAAACAAAAATTATCTTTCCTCAGAGAAACCAGCTTTAAGTAGGACTTTGGTGTTTAATTTTTTTTACTGAAAATCCAGTGAACTAGATTCCTTCCAGAGCCTCAGTCATTTTCTAGTAATGGGTTTGCACTTGAAGAGATTCAGTAACTGTTTCAGGCATGATTTAGCCTATAGGAAAATCTCTTAACTGGAATATTCCAAGAATGGAGATGTTCTGCTTGCTTACAAGTTTTTCTGTAGTGTGTTGTAGCCAGCTCCTACTGGCCTGCTAGAGCCAATTGTTAGATTTTCAGGATCTTTATGAGCTGGTTGTTAAAACAGCCATTATTAAAAATTAAATATATCTACCTAACAAATAAATGACATTAAAAACCACATTAATAAATACAAAAAACTAATTATGCACATTTCTAATATTTTATCTATGCTCTTGACGTTATTTACATCTATTTTATCTGTGTGGTGTGCCACTTATGCACATCTCTTCCCGGCTCTGCACTAGTGTCACCACATTGGTAGCTTGAAGTTGACCATGGTGAAAGTATTTACATCATGGGAATTGGCAGATGCTGCAGATCAGGGCTCTTTCCTCCCAGAGAGCTGGTTGTTAAACATTTATCAGCACAGCACTGATTTTAGACTAAATGAACTTTCAATTGAAGATCCTCCCTACTTTAGCCTTTGATAAAAGCCAAAATACATTAGGACATTTTTCTACCTTAAATGTGTAGAACGTACTGAATGTCACTGTTCCCAGTGCTGGAGAACCTCTTTGATACCTAAGATTCCTATAACACCTCAGCATATCCATCTTAAACACGAGCAGGATCACCTCTTATGACATGTAAAGAGAAGTATGTGATTTCCAGGTCAATTTTATTTAAAATACCACATTGTGAATTATTTATATAAACTTGGAATATTTTGTTTCATTACAGCCACCACTGGTGACATGCCAGCTTACCAGATCCGAGCTCCTACTACCGCTTTGCCACAGGGAGTAGTGATGGCTGCCTCACCAGGAAGTTTGCACAATCCCCAGCAGCTAGCAGAAGAGGCAACACGCAAACGAGAGCTGAGGCTAATGAAAAACAGGTAAACTGTTTCACTAGAAATCAGCATCCATTTATAGGACACATTTTATTACTGTGGGACTCTAAAAATATTCGGCTTTTCCTAAGCAGTTTCTTCCAAGGTAAGTGTTATATAACATTTTACATGGGTTTGCGCTCTGCATGTGATGATGATTAGATTGGCTTCTAATCAGCGTTTCTAGCCGTTAAACTCTTTTCTTTCACTAGCAGGAAGTACATCCCTGTTTGTTGTAAGGGTGATGTCCAATAGCTTTATTAACTTTTTTTAATGATGATGGAAAGACTTTATTACAAATAAAGATTTATTTTGTATTTGGTACTATGATGGTTAAGATTGTGTGTCAACTTGGCTGGGCCATGATTCTCCGTCTTTTAATGTAATCACTCCCATGATTGAATATACTGTGAGTAGCCAGTCAGATGAAAGGGAGTCTCCTTGGGGGTGTGGCCCACATCTGTATATAAGCAGACGTTCTGGCTTTTTGCTGTCTCTGGATCCTGCGGCTGCTTCCTGTTGTCTCATCTCCCGGTTTTGGGACTTGAGCTGTCAGCTTATCTGCCGAACCTGGGATTCGTCGATCTGCACAGCCTGTGAGTGGGAGCCCTGCTCTCTGACCTTCCAATCTTGGGCTTGCCAGCTTCTGCAGCTGTGTGACTTGGGAGAGGCCTCTACCCTGATCCACGGACTTGGGACGTTCTAGCTCTACGATTGCGTGAGCTGTTTTCTTGATGTAATCTCTCTCTATATATTTTTACACTTTACTGGTTTTGCTTCTCTAGAGAACACAGCCTAAGACGTTTGGTACCGGGAGTGGTTCTAGAGAAACAAAATTGTAAGGATGAGTTTTCAAAATTGGTTCTCAAGTCTGGTTAGTCATAAAGACGTTGTTGACTCTGCTTCCAGCAGTAAAGATGTCACTGCTAGTCCGTGGAGCGAGGTGGCAATACAAATATGCAAAATATCACCACCGGTAGATCAGGTATTGGTGAAAGGTGAGGCTCAGGGTGAACACATGTGTGATATCTTTCTACAGCTTTGTCAGAATGAGAAGTATAAGGAAGCTGGTTGATTTGTCCTACTTTCGCTAGACAAACTGATGAAGGAAAGAGATGCGCTCAGGGCTTCAGAGTCAAGGCTCAAGTGCTGTATACATGACTTCAAGGCTTCCGCTTGTGCTTTGAAAGAAAGCCTTATTTCTTGTAGTAACAGAGCCGAAATTGCTGAAAACCAAACCCAGAGTCTTATTGTA